GGAATTGTAAAGGGGAAAGAGGGTTTTGGCTCATTCTCTGGGCCTTTCCGGATCCTCTGTGCTAGGGTTTGGGCAGAACCCAGAGCCGCCCTGGGGCTCTCCCAGAATGAGCTTGCATTTGATTCTTCAAGAATGGGAGTTTGAATCCAAAAACTCCTCCTTGGGTTGCTGGGCACCAGCTGGCCGCGCCAGGGTGAGGCCCTCTGGTCCCCAGCAGGCCAGGCCCGCTGGACTCAGCTGGCCTGGGCTCTGGCAGAGCTGTGCTGCCTGCTCCTGCCTTGAGCTGGAGACACGGCTGAACTTAACCCCTGAGTCTGATCTCAGTGATGCTTCAGGGCTTCTCAGGACATTGTTCTGGACCTCAGTCCACTTCCTGCACCCAGTCACCTGGGGTTCGAGGTCCTATTTTCAAAGCTGACCCTGGTTCCCCTCTCCGATCAGCTGACTAGGTCAGAACCTCTGAGAGGGATTTTTTACAGACTTCTTTCAGGAATTCATATACCAGCTGAAGTTAGAGGATGTCTAGAGGAGGGGATCATGTTTTGCTCTGGAAAGCTGAGGATTTCCTACTTGTTTTCCCTCCTACCTGGGTGTGCAGGGTAGGAATTCTCCCAGATGTTGGACTCTGGCAGAAACCTTAGAGTGGATCCCAGGACTGTGGGGCCTGGGTTTGAATCGTGACTTCACCACTTTCCAGCTGGGGACCTCTGGACTAACTACTTTCCTTCCTGCTCCCCAGTTCCCTCATCTCTAAGAAGGGGTCCCCCTGGGAATTCCTTGGTGGTCCAGTGGTGGTGGTGGTTGTGTCTGACTCTTTGCAACCCTGTGGACAGTAGCCCACCACGTTCCTCTGTCCATGGGATTTCCTCATCAAGAATACTGGAGCGGGTTGCCATTTCCTTCTCCAGGCGATCTTCCTGACCCAGGGCTCAAACCCATGTCTCTTGCATTGGCAGGCAGATTCTTGATCACTGAGCCACCACTGGTTAGGACTTTGCATTCTTACTGCCAAGGGCCCGGGGTTCGATCCCTGGTCTGAACAACAACCACCATTATCACTGGGCTGTCTTTCTCAAGAGGGAGCAGAAGGAGAACCCGATCATCTCTCAGCAGTCAGCCTGTGGCCCTGGAGAGGACCAATCTGCCAAGAAGAGCATCCCCAGTGAGTCCAGGGGGCACCCGCCCTGCTGATGTATTGCCTCACTCCACGCCCTCCTGGCTTCCAGAGGCTGGAGCCCTGGGAGGCCCCTGGGAGGGAGTGGGAGCGAGGAGCGGGCTGGGCAGGGCAGCGGCCGGCCCAGGGTGAAGAATGCAGGCTGCTGTGAGGGATCAGGGCACGTGGGCCAGCAGCTGCCTGCTGACACATCACACCCCAGAGGCAGGACAGCGGTGACCTCACGCTGGTGTCAAACGTTAGGGGCCCCTCCCGGCACTGCCGATGCCTCAGCGTTGCTCAGAGGGAGCCGCCCCCTCCCCACCCTGCCCAAGTTCGTTTGCTCTTCCCTTCCCTGCACACACAGCGGGACAAGCTCACCACCCGAGCCAAGGCTTCAGTGGAGGTTTATAATTTGGATGCTCCGGGACGGGCGAGGCCAGCAGTTTCCACTTCCCCGAGGGCAGCCACATTGTAAATCCTGGAATACGCACCCGCACATCTGCCACAGCTGCCGGGGGAGGGTGTGATGGGCTTCGTGGGGACCGTTCCCAGCGTTCGAGTCTGGGCCTCTCCTGCCTCCGTCTATATAAACAGTGGCTTACAGTTGGGGAAACTGAGGCCCAGAGCTGCTAAGGACCTGCTACACACCTCCAAGTCAAAGCTTCTTGGCCACAGAGCTGGGACTGGAATGGAGAATTTATCTTGGACCAAGTTCTGGTCTATGTCCTGGACCAGGGTTGTCATCTTCTCAGCCACTGCTGCAAATCTCAGCTCCCCTGATCCCGGATCCAGGATGTGTCCCTCCTGAGTCAGGGTGCTGTGGTTCCTGGTTTCTAAAAGCCACTGTTATTTTCTTGGCCCTCACCTTCTGACCTCTGAAAGCCCCCGACCTGTCTTCCTATGGTTCTGTCCTCCTGTGGTGGTGGTTTAGTCACTCAGTCATGTCCAACTCTTTGTGACCTCATGGACTGTAGCCCACCAGGCTCCTCTGTCCATGGGATTCTCCAGGCAAGAATACTGGAGTGGGTTGCCATTTCCTCCTCCAGGGGATCTTCCCAACCTAGGGATTGAACCTAAGTCTCCTGCACTGACATGCGTGTTCTCTACCACTGAGCCACCAGGAAAAATCCCATGGACAGAGAAGCCTGGGGGGCTACAGTCCATGGGGTTGCAAAGAGTCAGACACAACTAAGCGACTGGTCACACACGTGCAGCTTCTGGAAGTGAGTAATCTACCTTTAACAGTGATTTTAGTTCCACGATTGCCCTCTGTGTCCACCTCACCTTCAGAGAGAGTTTTCTTGAGACTCTGGCTTTGGGTTCTTAATGTTTCAACAGACGACGCTGAGCAAGGATTTTTGAGAATCTACCAAGACTCAGGGATCTGTTCTCCACGCTAGATGGAGGCCAGGTGCCTGAGTATCCAGGGAACATGCACCCCCAACCTGGGCTTTGTCCTCCACGCTTCCCTGTGGGTGAGCCAAGTCCTCGCACGGGCTTTGACAAGCATCTGGAACAATGGGCAGGGCCACTTTGAGCTCCCCAAGGCTCCTGCTTATTTATTTTACCATCATAACTTGAAGCCAATATTTAAGCATTACCAAGGCAACAGCCCAAATCTCCCAGCCCTTGGCCCCCGTCCAGCTCCACATGGTGGGGACAAGGGCAGGAGGGGAGTGAGGAAAATGAGTCAACCATTCCCCCACCCCCCGACCACCTGGGAAAACAGTGACCCAAAAATCAGATCCCAGCTTCTCTCACGGGGTAATTGTTCTTTTCCATGGGTCTACGACTCAGTGTTTCTCACACAAGAGGAACAGAATCAAGCAAGACCTCTGTCCCTATATTTTATTTTGTTTTTGCAGTTATGGTTGGAGATGAGAGGTTTTTCAAACATTTTATTGAAGCTTAAGGTACACAAAGAAAGCGGACAAGTTATAAGGGTACAATTTTATTTTTGCAAACTGAACTCTCCCTTTCCCCAGTACCCCCATCAAGAGCAGCGCCCTTCCCCCCCCCCCAATTTTCCTTGTTCCCTCATCACTGTACCTCAGGGTGACCATGATCCTAGCTGCTCACAATTTTGCCTGTTTTTCACATAGAGGGAAGCATACACTGTGTTCCATCTTGGATCGAAGCCAACAGCATTTATAGGTTCTGGGAGGTTCCCTGGGTCCTTTTCACCACCAACTCCAGGGAGGAAAGAACACAGAGCAGCAGAAAGCGCCTTCTCTGCTCCACAGGCCATGGGGGTGTTTGGACAGGGTCAGAGTGCATGTAGAGAGTGGGCCAGGGAGTGGTTCTGCTTTCAGAATAAAAGCCACGGCATCCTTTTCTCTGTTGCTCTGTGTCTCAGGTCCCCATCTGACATGCATGATCAGAGAAAGGAGGGGGCCCTCGAAGTCGTAACAAAGCCTGCTGGGGGCTTTCCTGGTGATCTAGTGACTAGAAATCCACCTTCCAATACAGAAGCCTTGGGTTCTGTCCCTGGTCAGGGAACTAAGATCCCTCATGCCTTGGGGCATCTGAGCCCATGTGCTGCAACTAAGACCCAACACAGCCCCCTCCCGTCTGCCAAAAAAAAAAAGGCCTGCCCAGGAAGTCTGCAGAGACCCCATTCCCAGAGTCCTCACTTCTCCTGGCAGGGTGCCGGGGGCACCCACATCCCCTTCACTGGCCAATACACCTTGTCACTGTAGGCCTGGCTCTGATGGCCCCTGTTTTTATGCCTGGTCAGGGCAGGACAAGGGTTTACCCTAATCTATGTGTCCCAGTGGAGTTGGTTGGCCTGGGCTCCTGCCTGCCTGGTCAGCGCCCCCGTGCAGCCCCCCAGGGCTGCTGCTGCATGGATTTCACTCTCATCCCAAGATTGAGAAGGAGTTCTTTCCGTGGTGCTTCACATCCCTTGGGCCAGTGAGTATCTGCAAGGAAGGATGTTTTGTTTTCAACATTTCCAAGCCATCACAGACTGCTGCCTTTGCGAAATACAATAACCTAGACACAGATGGGAAAAAGCAATGAAAGAAATAAAAGCTGTACAAAATACAAGCCTGCATTTCTTTTATTATTATATTCCGGATATAATAGGACAAGCCTAAGAAGGGGTGAAAGGTATATAGAAGTTTCTTGGTGCTTACTCTTGATTTCTATACTTATTCTGTGGAGTCTTTGACCCGCTCTTAGCTGACCAACACAGGTCTAAGGACCACACTTGGAGCAGCCTCGCCTTAGTCCGTAACTGGTCTCTGCAGTCTGCGTTTGCCTGTGATCCCCCTTCCCAGCTCCTTGCAGGGTTTGTCCTCTTCCTATTTCTATGCATGTTGCTTTAGCAGAAATAAAAGCAAGAGAAACCTTTACCCGTCTACTTTAGGACTTTATATGAGACTCTGAGGGCTTCCCAGGTGGCGCTAGTGGTAAAGAACTGCCAGTCAATGCAGGAAACGTTAAGAGATGCCAGTTTGAACCCTGGGTTGGGAAGATCCCCTGGAGGAGGGCATGCCAACCTACGCCAGTATTTTTGCCTGGAGAATCCTATGGACAGAGGAGCCTGGTGTGTTACAGTCCATAGGGTCACAAAGAGTTGAACACGACTGAAGCAACTTAGCACAGCACACACATGAGGCCCAGAGCTCAGAAGCCTTGCTGTTTTCAGTTTCTTATCTTTGGGAATTGCACCTGGCTTCTTGTGACTTTTCTGTCTTAGATGTGGGACAAGCTTCCTCTGGAGTTAGGTTGGAATATTATACTGCTGACAAAAAGGTGTCAATCCTCTCTCCTCCCTTCAGCCCCTTCTACTCACTGCATCCTGGCATCACGGTGTCACTCTCCAGAAGATGCTGAGAACCTAGGGAGGGGGTTCCTGGAGGGTGTGTGAGGCTTCTCTTGCCTCTCCTTTCTTAAGAGTCTCTGTCCTGTAGTTCAATCCTGAGCCCTCATGTTCTGGACTTTTCCTGGAGGGAAGGCTCTCAGGATCCAAGTGGGCTGGCAGGATCCTCCAGGCTGAGGTCACCACCAGGGACGTAACCAAGCCCTCCACCCCTTGCGTCCCCACAGGAAGCCCGTGGTCTTGAGTCCTTTCTCTCAGGAGGGACAGCTTCTCTGTGGCCGTTAACGGTGTGTCTGACCCCTCTGGAGGGCAACCCATGTGTGCTCTCTGGCCCTAAGTGTCCCCAGGCTTATTTGACCATGGGTATGTGTGGGACCATGAGCAGGGCAGACTGTGTTTTCCGCCTGAGATTGGTTTCATCTGGGCTTCTTTAGGGACAGATGTGTTCAGCAAGGACCGAGTAGCCCCAGCCAGAGACACAGGCAGATCTAGTGGTGTTGGTTGAGATTTACAAGCTGTCACCAGTCCTGCTGCATACAAGCCTTCCTGCCGTTCCCTTTCCTCTCCTCATTCTTCTGCTTCCCCCGCCCCCTTTTAATAACCCTGGCTGCATATTTTCTCTAAACCAAACCATCTGTTTACTAGCTTTTCTAAGTGGTAATAAAGACAGTAGAGACCCGAGTGCCCGTTGGGTCCAGGCTCCTTCTCCGGCTGTCCCCAGGTGGCCCAAGAGTGGGGCTTGGAGGTCGCGTGTCCGGCAGGGTCCTTTCTGCCTGAAGTTGCCTGTTCAAAGACACGTCTCCTTGGAAACCAGCTGTGGCTGCCTCCCCACCACTGTCGTTTGCAGCTGTGATCCAGGACCATGGGGTCACCTGCCTGTGGCGAGCTGCCTGCTGGATGCGGAGCTGACGCAGAGGAGCAGGGGAGTGAGGCTGTGGGCCATCCGGGCTGCCCAGGCGCCAGGTTCTCCTCCCAGGGAATGTACTGAGTTTGGAGAACGGGCGAGCCCAGGAAAACATTTCGACAACAATGCTGAGTGCCTAGGTGACGGGAGAGAAAAAAAGAGGAGTCTGTTTGGGAACGGATTTCGGCCTCCTCTTCCAAGGCATTAGTAATTCAAGCAGCAGCGAGTGTCATATTTACTTGGGAAACTATGAAAAGTCATATAACAATGTTCTCTTCACAGCTTTCATCATCGGCTTCCTGGGTTCTGGGTGCAGTCAGCCCCCTAATCATAAACAGGGGTGTGCTCTGCCATCTGGCAGCAGGAATGAGCATGCTGCTGGCAGCTGGGACCCAGACCCCTACAGGGCCAGGTGTCCTCCCTCCCCAGGCCCTGGTGTCAGCTGCCGGGCCCCAGGAAGCCCAGAGTGTCCCGCACCCCAAATTACCCAGGTCAGGATGGCACTGCACACTGCTTGGACCAGGAAGAAGCCAGGGCTGGTGGTGCTGACAACTACATGTCCGGCCCAGCAAGCAGGCCCGAGAAAAGATGAAATTTTAGGTCAACAAACTTTCACTTTATTATGTTTGGCTCAGATGCTAAAGAATCCACCTGCAATGTAGGAGACCGGGGCTCGATCCCTGGGTCACTTTATTATGTTCTGTCACGTTATTTTTAGTTTTTGGCCACACCCTATGGCCAAAACCCACCCTCTGTTACCCTCTTCTCCTTTTGCTTTCAATCTTTCCCAGCCTCAGGGTTTTTTTCCAGTGAGCTGGCTCTTTGCATCAGGTAGCCGAAGTATTGGAACTGCAAAAGTCTCTTGCTTTCTCTATGATCCACGAATGTTGGCAATTTGATCTGCCTTTTCTAAACCCAGTTTGTATGTCTAGAAGTTCTCGGTTCATGTACTGCTGAAGCCTAGCTTGAAGGATTTTGAGCATAACCTTACTAGCATGTGAAATGAGCGCAGTTGTACCATAGTTTGAACATTCTTTGGCATTGCCCTTCTTTGGGATTGGAATGACCTTTTTTCTGACTATTAGTGGGAGGAGCCAATTCAACTCTTTACAGGCCAGGCGGGTAACCTGACAGTGAAGGGGGCAGGTGTGGGCCACAGGTGGCCTGTGGGGTGGTGGTACCAAGGAGACCTGGAAAAGAGGCTTCTCCTCTTCCCCAACCCAACACTTCCATGCAAAAATGTGAGTCTTGGGCTGCCAGGCATCTGAGTTAGGACATCCTGTATAGGCCAAACAAACACCTCTGGATACGAAGTTGGCCTCTGGACAATTGGTTTGCAACCTCTTCGTTACACAGTTTCTAAGTTTCCTGTCAGCTCTGAAGTTTAACAATTTTACAACCTCCAGCCAGTCATCTCCTCTGTTAACTGGAAATGAATCACATGGCTTATTTTGAGTAAGAATAAGCAGACATAGATGTTACCAAAGCTGATTCCAAAGGGTTCATTCTAAAAAGCAGTTTCTCAGGACTTTCCTGGTGGTCTAGTGGCTAAGACTCCGTGCTCCCAATGCAGGGGGCCCAGGTTCCATCCCTAGTAAGGGAACTAGATCCCACATGCTAAAGATTGGAAACTAAAGATTCCATGTGACTAAGACCTGGAGCAGCCAAACAAGTAAAATAAATAAATATTTAAAAAGAAGTTTTTCCAAAGGAAGTATTATGTTTCCAGAAAAATCTCAGGGAAAACTATTGCAAGCAACAACAGGAGCTGTTGGATCGGACTCTAAAGGAAAGGGTAAAGAGATTTAACCAGCTAGAGTGAAAGTTGGAGATAAAGTTCTTCTCCCCGAATATGGAGGCACCAAAGTTGTTCTAGATGACAAGGATTACTTCTTATTTAGAGGTGGTGACCTTCTTGGAAAACATGTAGGCTGAAATAAGTCACTACTGAAATGACATCACATGATGCTGCCCATTCCACTGAAGTTCTGAAATCTTTTCATCATGTAAATAATTTCCATGTTTCTCTTTTGTAATAAATTAATCATATTTTTAAAAAAGTGGTTTCTGCAAACTATGCCAGGCCAGTCTATTTCTCTGTTGATTTAGGTGCTGCTGTGAACTCAGTGTTGTTAAGATGTCTGCTCTAACCTGGAGGAACAGGGAAAACAATAGGCTCAGTGAAAGAGGCCAGACACAAAAGGTCACATGTTGTATGATTCCATTGATATGAAACGTCCAGAATAAGCAAATTCATAGAGACAGAAAGTTGATTAGTGGTTGCCAGGGACTGGGGGAAGGAGTGATGGGGAGTAACTGCTAATGGGTATAGGGTTTTCTTTTGGGGTGATGCAAATGTTCTGGAATTTGATCATGATGATGGTTACACAATGTTGTGAGTATACTAGAGACTACTGAACATTGTACTTGAGAATGGTAGGCTTTATGGTATGTGAATTATGTCTTAATTTAAAAGTGTACTGTAGGGACTTCCATAGCTGTCCAGTGGTTAAGACTTCGCCTTCCAATGCAAGGGGTATGGGTTTGATCCCTGGTTGGGGAGCTAATACTCCACATGCCTGTAGCCAAAAAACCAAAACAGAAAACAGAAGCAATATTGTAACAGATTCAACAAAAACTTTAAAAAAGGTCCCCATAAAAAAAAATCTAAAAAAAAAAAATACTGCTAAGTTGTCAATTCTCAGATCGGTCTATAGATTTTATGCACTCTCAGTGAAAATTCTAGCAGGTTTTTGGGGGTAGAAATTGACAAACTGATTCTGGAATTCAAATGGAAATGCAATGGACAAGGAATAGCCAAAACAACTTTGAAAATGAAGGGGAAAGGAGGAGTTCTTATACCATCTGATTTTAAGGCATGTAAAGTTATAGCAAGAAAGATAGTGTGGTATTAGCATAAAGACAAACAGGTCAGTGAAACAGACTAGAGAGCCCAGAAGTTGACCCAAACACATACAGGCAATAAAATTTTCGAAAAAGTTTCAAAGGCAATTCAATAGAAGAAGAATAGTTGTTACAGCAAATATTCTGAAACAACTTGATATCGATATGCAAAAAAAAAAGAATCTTGATCCATACCTTACATCATATAAAAATATTAACCCCAAACATACTTAAATGTAAAGCTTAAAACTATAAAACTTCTATAAGAAAACACAGTAGAAAATCTAGTAACCTTGGCTTAGGCAAAGATTTTTTAAATATGGAATGAAAAGCACTACCCACAAAAGAACAAATTGAGAAAATGAATTCATCCAAATTTAAAAGTTTTGGTTGACTTTTTTTTTTTTTTGCAAAAACACTGTTAAGAAACTGAAGACAAGCCATAGACTGGTAGAAAATATTTACAAGCTATATGTCTGATAAAATATGTAAAGAGCTTCCAGAAGTTAAGAAAACAACCAATTAAAAATGGGTGAAATATTTGAACAAATACACAATGATTATTTTGTTTAATAAGCTTGTACTTTTCTTACTGGATGGCCAATGAGCATAAGAGAAAATGCTAAAATCATTACTCATTAGGGAAATACAAATTAAAAGCACAGTGAGATACTGCTACACAGCTGTTCAGTTCAGTTCTGGAGCTGTCGTGTCTGACTCTGCGATCCCAGGGACTGTATCACACCATGCTTCCCTGTCCATCACCAGCTTCTGGAGCTTGCTCAAACTCATGTCCATTGAATTGGTGATACCATCCAACCATCTCAACCTCCATCGTCCCCTTCTCCTCCTTCCTTCAATGTTTCCCAGCATCAGGGTCTTTTCCAATGCATTAGTTCTTCACATCAGGTGGCCAAATCATTGGAGCTTCAGCTTCAGCATCAGTCCTTCCAATGAATATTCAGGACTGATTTCCTTTCAGATTGATTGGTTTGATCTCCTTGCAGTCTGAAGGGCTCTCAAGGGTCTTCTCCAACACCACAGTTCAAAAAGCATCAATTCTTTGGTGCTCAGCTTTCCTTATGGTCCAACTCTACGTTACCTTTTTTTTTTTTTTAAATGTAGGATGTCCCTACATTATCTTAAAAAAAAACAAAAACTTTAACAAAACTTTATTTATTTGACTGCACCAGGTCTTAGTTGCAGCATGTAGGATCTTTAGCTGCTGTGTGTGGGGTCTAGTTCCCTGACCAGGGATTGAACCTGGGCCCCCTGCTTTGGAAGCCCAGAGTCTTAGCCACTGGACCATCAGGTAAGTCTCTCAAGTTATTTTTAAAAATAAATTTCATGGGCTAAAATGTCAAAGGCAGTCTCCTCCAAGTTTCTTGGGCCTGGTTTACTTCCAGCTTATGGATATGTACCAGGATCATGATGATTTAGGGGCTCTCCCCCAACCACTCATTTGACTCAAGCCAGGCTCCACATCACTTGCTTTCCTACAGCCCACAGACCACGCTTCCTCCTGCCCCAGGAAGGATGTTGCTCCATACTGGCACATCCTTACCTCTTCCTCCTACTCCAGGTCTCAGTGATAACCTCTGTTCTGGCAATCCCATTCCTGGGCATATATCCAGAGAAAACCATAATTTGAAAAGATATGTGCACCCCAATGTTTATTGTTGTACTATTTGCAGTAGCCAAGACATGAAAGCAACCTAAATGTCCATTTATGAAGAATGGATAAAGAAGATGTGGTACGTATACACAATGGAATATTACTCAGCTGTAAAGAATGAATGCAATAATGCCAGGTGCAGAGACATGGATGGACCTGGAGATTGTTATACTGAGTGAAGTAAGTCACTTTAGTGCTGGAGAAGACTCTAGAGAGTCCCTTGGACTGCAAGGAGATCAAACCAGTCAGTCCTGAAGGAAGTCAGTCCTGAATATTCATTGGAAGGACTGATGCTGAAGATGAAGCTCCAATACACCGGCCACCTGATGCAAAGAACTGACTCATTGGAAAAGACCCTGATGAAAGACTAAAGGCAGGAGGAGAAGGGGACGACAGAGGATGAGATGGTTGGATGGCATCATTGACTCAATGGACACGAGTTTAAGCAAGCTCTAGGAGTTGGTACAACCAGTCCATCCTAAAGGAGATCAGTCCTGGGTTTTCATTGGAAGGACTGATACTGAAGCTAAAACTCCAGTACTTTGGCCACCTCATGT